ACCGTGTCATCAGCATATTGAAATATGTTAGTGTATATCATATGCTTACACGTACCAGATCTATTTATTGCGTGACGATCTTTCGATTTTGCGTGAAGAATACTTAAAAAATTGACCTAATGTGGCGTATATGGTTGGTGTATCGATTTCGTCTGGTCTTCGCCGCGATGTGGAATGCTATTTTTCCCGCTCAGTTCTTTCACTCCTTTAGCAATTTCTCTGCTTAGTCAACCTAATGTTTGGTAAGTATTCAAGTTTTTATTGCTGATCCCATATTTGTCAGAGACGAAATGTCAGGTAACCCTGTAATAAACTGACAAATACTATTTATTATCACATCACACATAGTTCGATAAGTACAAATCCCGCCGTCAATGAAAGTGCATGTGCAGGTAGACAATAACACCGGAGGGATGTTTCAGCTGGTTATAAGTTGATAGAAAGGAAAGTAGTCTGACACATATATCGTGACACTGTTATTATTAGTATCAACAAAGGAATTACTAATATTGTTAGTAATCGTAGGTGAGCCATCAATACTGTAGTGCATGCCAAGTTCAAGTTGCCTCGAATATGTGAATGGTATTTTTATCTCTCTCTTTTAATTAGTGAAGGCGACTCGTTTGGCATTAGCCTCCGCAATTATCGCGTTGTATAAGCAGTTATATTTGCTGCATTATAATGCGTCAGCGCATGTGTTTCAAGAAGCGCCTTATATCTGAGGTATCCTGCAAAGGTTCGCATTTTTTAGGCTACGTATAAAGATGGTGTAGTAACACCACATAAATTTGGATAAAAAAATAACCAAAAAAAACAAAACAAAAAAGCGTTAAGAAATACGATAAGCGCTTAGCCAGAAATGAGGGAGAGTGGCAATCGCTGCTTCCGTTGTTGTGGTGCTCCTGACTGATCAATGTATGTGATGAGCGTAATGTCTTGGAATGCATAGTAAAAAGTAGAGCGAAGAAAAGAAGAGGCTCAAAGTGGTGGCCGTACAAAATCTACTGCAAGCTGGTTTGTGTAAACAGAACATAGGGTACGGTACCATGTAGCCTCCTATTTTCACGTGGGAATGCTCAATATTTTGGGCGGGTGCTAAAGGTTTTTTGCGTAACTTTTTCTTTAAGAGCTAATTTGGGCATTTTAGCAGATGTTGATCTTGAAAATGTTACTTAATAGCTTTTAATTATGGCTTTTCTTTTATAGGTACACATCTATGTTAAAATGTTCACCTTTAGTAAGCGTTCCTGTGCTTAGAGTGTACTGTCATTGTAACCTCTATGTGAGAGGGAAATGAAGAAAATACAAAATTAAAATTGTTGTAAGAGCCAAGTAACTTATAAAATATAGGTTACTTGCCATTTTAACCTGCCTTTAACGTTACCATGATTACAGGGTACTTAGCGAGCAGAAATATGGTGGCTTACAAAAAAAGTTCAGCTTAAATTGAGTACGACGCAGCGAGCGATAGCAATGAAAATGATAGGTGTAACATTAGGAAACGATAAGAGAGCAGAATGGGTGAGAGAACAAACCGGGATCAGCAATACTAAGTATAAATCAAGAAAAAGAAATGGACATGGGCCGGACACGTAGCGCGTAGGCATAATAACCGCTGGTCATAAGGGTTACTGACTGGATCCAAAGCGAAGACAATTGCACCAGGGGGAGAAAAAAAGTTACGTTGACTGACGAGACTAAAAAGTTTTCAGGTATAACGTGGCAGCAAGAAGCGCAGGACCGGGTTGATTTGCGAATCGTGGCAGAGGCCTTTGCCCTGCAGTGGGCATAGTCAGGCTGATGATGATGGTGTTGTTGAAATAACGCGCAATAGTTGAAATTTTGGGAGTCATCCATGGAGGGGTCCAGGTAACTGAAGGGCTTATTCTGGATCTCTCCAGATTAGCGCTTTTTCGCCTCTGCTCTAGGTGCTCGCTGAACGATGTTTTTTGTACATGCATATATATAATCCACTCAAAGTTTTGTTTTGATGATTTCAAAGGTAGTGCAGCGAAGGTTTAGAGCCAACGTGAACTTTGTGAGTGCTCCGAGGAAAGCTTGTCCTGACATCGTGCTGTACTTGGCAACTATGACTACGCAGGCTCAATGTCACCAAACTTTAGTATAAGTCACTGTAATTCATCATGTTTTCTTTCATCAGAGTTAATCATATGTAGAGTTACACATGAAAAGGAATGTAATTGAAAACGCGAACTATTTTACGCTTGACCTATAGCCGATTTAATTTTTGTCCTATTGCAATCAGTATCGAATTATACTACAAAGTTTGGTTCATTTATTTAGTATAGGTATGTGCTCTTTTAGCTGCGAAAAATTAGGGGAGCCCTAAGCTTCGCCTTTTTTTTCGGTGGAGGCGGAAATGCTGCAGTCCTGTGTGCTCAGATTTGGGTTCACGTTAAGGAACCCCAGTCAAAATGATCGAAATTTCAGGCGCCCTTCACTACGGCGTCTCTCATAATGATATGGTTGTTTTGGGACGTTTAACCCCACGTATCAATCTATCAAGCTTCTCCTTTAACAGTAGAACGTGGAAAATATATCATTTACAACAACAACTACTACTACTACTACTACTGCTACTACTACTATTACTACTACTACTACTTCCACCATTTAGTGAACAATCTTTATAGTTTAATGTTAGAAAACAAGTTTAAATTGTGGGTTACTACAATCTATTCGATAAACTTAAAAGTGGCTCATGCTAGGGAAGCTATCGCATAAGAATCCATTATATCTAGTTGGTATACAGGTATAAAACGCGAAAAACTATGCGCGTGAGATGTTTTCAATCTTGCCATACACCCACTACGTGGTCTCAAGGAAATACGCGCAGTAACGTGTGCATTTTTTCTAATGAGTAGCCAGATTCAAGCCACGAACTTGTTGCGAAACAACCTTCAAGTGCCAAAAAACAAGGACAGAAAAGAAAAGTGGACACGCATCTGATGGCGATTTATGTTTGTACAACTCAATATTACCGTGATGTTACCAAAACGTGCGTTGGAAGGTATGGGTCCAAACTTTCGCTTATAAATTTCAATGAAAACTTGACTCGTGCAGATTGTGAAGTGTTTCGTCACGCTCCCACGGTAAGAAAGGAAATTATAAGTTTGTATGGACACGCAATGGAAAGCTGCTAGCGAGGAAGACAGAAGGCTTTCCTATCGTACGCATCAATACTCAAACGAATATCGAGAAACTGGTTTAAATATGGGAATTCCCAGCACACTGTACATTTGGTAGCTTTTTCGAAGCACATCATTTCATTTCGAATATTATTATTGCCTTCACAGCTTTAAATGTTAATATCCGCAGCATCCGGGAACACTGAAATCATTTCTGTGCTCTCATCTCTCATTTCGTCTTTATTTGTAACATATTGTGCTGACCGAAATTCACGCTTCCGCTGATTGCAATCCATCGTGTTTTTTTACTGGTTATGAACAGTTTTCATACACGCGCTCACTACGCAGGAGAAGTACTGTGGCAGCGCATGGAAAATGCACATGCTTGTTATCAAGGCGGACGCTTTCCTTTCTGCAAGCAGATTTTGTCGCTTTGCGACTATGCGCTGCGGAGTTATAGACAACTGTATCGTCGATATACCGGACTCGATGTTGCAACGTCCGATTGTTCATACCAGAAGTAGATGCAGCGCTATCATACATCTCTCTTGACGGCAACGTGCTTGTACTGGGTGACCTCAACATTGATACCCTACGCCTTGTTATGCCATCGTTTACTCACTAGCTCCTTCTTCTATCGAAATCGGGTTTGGAAGGTACTGTATATTCACCGACACGTAAACACTTTTTTATCTGGAAAGTTGGTGAAATCTTGCATTGAGCACAATAATGAACGTTGTTCTAATCTGATAACACAGGCAGCTGTTATTGAAATCAAAGTCGCTTATCAATATTTTATCTGCTACTTTATCTCAAACTGCTCGAAGCATAAAAAAAATGGTAGATCCCACGTGCAGTGGGAATCGATGATATGCGAAGCACGAATTCGAAAGGTTGATATGTAATTTTAAAGTCAGCACAACGTTACGAGGTGGATGTAAAGATGCCGTACATGACTTCCGTGTCATGATTATCATGTTTGGATGTGTCGTTTGCATTTGTCATCTATCACGTCACGTGATACCAAATTTAGTATATGTGGAGCTAGCAAAATGGCCGTGAGCACGCTATGAGCGTAGTATGTTGTCATGTTCTTACATGACACGCGTGTCAGAATTATCATGTTTGCACCAGCCATATACTTTTGTCATCCATTGACGTCCCACAACACCAAATTCGGTATATGTGGAGCTATACTCCGTTTCATACATCATGTGCAACGCGGTCAAAGCTAGCGCTCTTGTTTGCGCTGTGTACTTCCGCGACCAAAAAGTAGTGCGCCGCTTGGGGTGTACGAGAATCAATAAATGCTTCTCGGGAAACTTCTAAGCATACATATTTGTCATCAGGTTAAAAAACAAACGCCTGTGTTGTCGGATAAACAATCCAAATATGCGAGTTGGTAATTTATGTTTGTCGCTTTCGTATCAGGTTTTCGCTCTCCGCGCGACCCGTGCCGCCGTTTTTTTTTACTTGTTGTGGCAGCTCCGAAAAAATGGCGTCCAGCTCTGCGTCCTCGACCATCTCTCCTGCGCGAATTTTTTCGAAGCTTCGCACATCAAAGCTGTCAAAGCACGCCAAGCAAGTAATTGCAAATGTGTACGCCCGTACCAGGATGCGTTCCCCGGAGAAATCTGTGTGGGAAGTGCTGAGTGTTGTGATCTCCCCGTACCGTGGCGAAATTGAAGGCGGAGCGTCTGCGTGGGCCTTTGGTGTCACCGAAAAAACGAGCTCGCGAGGTGAAGATTTCGAGCTCGCGAACCGTCAAACATGACAGCTTGACAATCCATGCCATCCGTCTGAAAGTGCACAGCATGTACGCCAAGAGGGAGATCCCAACACTGGAGTGTGATGAGGGCTGTCAACGAAGACGACGACTTGCCGAACTTCACGAAAACCACCTTGTGGAGGCTAATGAAGGACATCGGCTTCACCTTTGCTAAGAGAAAACGGAATCTTGCGCTAATCGAGCGCAGTGACATCATTGCCTGGCGTCGCAGGTACTTCCGGGCGATCAAGAAATTCTGAGGACAGGGCAGGTGGGAACCGTTATTTTCATATTTCCTTACGCAGCACATGTAGATTGCCTTGATATAACACTTGATGTTAGCGTTGCAACTTTATAATCGTAATGGAGAGTATTACATCTGAATTACAACCTGGAAAAAAGAAAACGGTTAAGCAAGGTAATTGCTTGCAGGTTGCATTTCACGACTTTTGTTTTGTTGGGTGGGGGTATTTGCCTCAATCGGTGAGAGTTATTCGCTGAATCTCCGCCGTTTGGTGCGGTAAGCGCTCATTCCCATGAAAGATGCGAGTTACTGGCAGCATTGTTGGGAATTCGGGTGTCTATTTTTGTTTCTATTCGTGCAAAATGATAGCGATGGCCAATGAAATCTTACCGAATACCGCATGTGTGACATGTGAACTTGCCATGAATCAGAACTGACAGCCAAATGCCACCTACGTGCCGAATTAAAGCCCGACTAAAGAAAGCACTGACGCCGACCGTTTTTTTCGTCGATTGACGCTAAGCAGCTGTTTACGAAAGAGCAGTCAGCATGTGAGTGGGTAACAAAGAAAATAGAATATGCATATGAATGCTTTTTGTACTTTTTGCTCAAGTTGTCCTTTGCAGTATTTTCGACTATGGTCATGCCAAGACTCAAGCTGCTGCTGTGGGTATGTTTACTTGTGTGCGCTAACTCGTGCGCTCGTTCGTTTTGCTTTGTACAGGTGCATCATCTACTTGGATGAAACATGGGTCAACGCAGGGCACACGAAGGAGTACGTTTGGCAGGACACGACTGTGAAGTCATCGCAAGATGCCTTCCTCAAAGGTCTGGCGACAGGATTGGCTGCACCCTCGGGCAAAGGGGCCCGTTTGATTCTCGTACATGCTGGCAGCAGTGCAACTGGTTTCATCGAAGGAGCTGCTGACTACTTCCGAGCAAAAAAGGGGGGCAGCGCTGACTACCACTCTGAGATGGATGGCAGATATTTTGAGGAGTGGTTCACCGACAAGCTTTTGCCAAACATTCCGCCTAATAGCGTTATTGTCATGGACAATGCGCCATACCACAGCGTAGCTCTTGAGAAAGCACCTACCAAGTCGACGCGCAAAGCTGATATTCAGCTTTGGCTCACAAAGAAAGGTGTTCCGTGGTCAGCGGACATGGTGAGAGCTGAACTGCTGGAACTTTCCCAAAAGGTCAACACACCCAGTATTGTGTACCGCATCGACACTCTGGCGGCTACCCACGGCCATGAAGTGCTTCGTGTACCACCATACCACTGCGAGTTCAACCCAATCGAGCTTGTTTGGAGCCAGGTAAAGGGGTACATCGCAGCACGGAATACGGGTTTCACTTTGGCTGAAGTAGAGAAGCTTCTGCCAGAAGCACTGGCATCTGTAAAACAGGAAAAGTGGCAAAACTGCTGCGCTCATGTAGAGCAAGTTCAAGCTGAAGCATGGGAACGGGACATGATTGTGGATAGTGAAATCGAACCACTTGTCTTCTGCATTTGTGATTCGTGCAACTCCTCCTCCGATGAGTCGGGTGCTCAGTTCAGTGATGACGAGTTGAGTGGCATTGAAGAACTTTGCTGACTTTCGAGCAATGTGTGGCCTGTCAGTGGTGGCTTTGTTCACGAGGGTCGACTGGTTGAGCTGGATTGTGGACACCTTTCTAGCGAACCTGCTCGTGCTGCTTCATGCTGAGCTCATTCCCCAAGAAGGCTGTGTTATTATGACAAAGCAAAGAGTGCTTTCTCATCGTGTGATTTTGTGTGTTGGGTTTAACGTCGCCAAGTGACCCGGGCTAGGAAGGACACTGCACTGTACTGCTCCCTAATAATTACCTTATTTATGTTTTTGTTGTGAAGTGCAAACGTTCGGAATGGTCACATGACCTCTGTAAAAACTTGGTATAAAAAAGGAAAAAGAAGAAGATGTCGGAACCCACCACGACATCGGCCAGAGGTGCTCTTCTGTAAATAAAGTTTGCGTTTTTTAAACCACAAAAGTCGTCATCCGTTTGGAATATTGGTCCATCGCACGCAATGAGTATTGCCCCTGGATGTATGTATGTATGGAACAAATCTCCAACTTTTTGAACCAGTACAATTTTTGGGCACTGAATTACCCTATACCATAAAGATTTTCTCAACCGAGAAAAACAGGCCATATCCAGGTTTTTATAAAAAAAACGATTGACGCATAAATTAAAATTTAGAGTTTCTGCCGAATAACAGCCTTAGCTGAAACTCTCTTTTGAACGATAAAAAAGGAACTCTTACTTGCGGGAAGGAGGATGGGTTGGAATTATACTGAAGAAATAAATCGCGCATAACAATTCACAAAAATGTCGCATATATTAAGACAGTAAACGGGCGAATACCAAGTCTAGGAAGTGTTCTATGCGTTTGTGTGCCAAAATCACTATTCCGAGCTACACAAGTTTGCTTTTCCCTTTTCCCTGAATAACATATCATTCGTTACTCGCACGAAGTGCGTCGGGATACCGCACAGTGCAGTGGAAGGTCGATTCCGCACTGTTTTGCTAAAACTGAACAGGTTTCTCTGCCGGCGGCCCGCTATAATCAATAACCTGCTGAGTGTTTAAAGAGCGGCACAGAAAAGTGGATCATCGGGGCAATGACGAAAACAAAAGTTGGAGGTGAGCACCTGTCGTTAATTCAGCCTCATTGGAGCTGCTGTGCTACCTAATCAATGAATTAACGTCATCTTACACGCAGTACGCGCTCACATCAACGAGGTAAACCGACAATGCCGTATAATTGCGACAAAATCGCCATGCTGGTCAAACCTCGGTGCCAGCTCAGCAGGTTCCGGCCCTCACAAGGGAACACGGTATGCTACAAATGAATAGATACGTGCAGTTCACTTCCGCGTGCAAGTAAGTTGAAGTTACTGAAAAAAAAACAAGATTTCGAATTGAACTCGCGAAAATTATAAAAAAAAAGTAGCACCACGTGGATTCGAACCCATGCACTTCAAAACTACGGTGAACTCTCCGGAGCGACGCGTCAGACCACTCGGCTACGAAACCTTTTTTTTTTTTGATTTATTGCCTGTTTACAGGCGCATACATCAAACCACAAGCAGAACAAAAACAAGCAGTAACAGTCCGACAGAAACTTAAAATTCCCTAAGTGCCGCCAAGGGCTTCACCCTCGACAACCACTCAGGTACAATCTCCTGAGTTTTCTGCAGTTCAACATACTTGGCCATACATTCACGGAAATACATTCGTGCAGGCCGTGCATCCTGATCGCGATAGAAACTCGCCATACGGGCCCGCCATAAACAGTGAAGTCCACATAGCATAATCAAATCAAAAGGCATTCCCTCTTCGTCCACTATTGGCAGAAATCTTATACCATATGAATTTAAAGGTAATTCTTTCTGTAACGTCCTTTGAAGTACATCCCAAAAATATACTCCTTCCCAACAATGTAAGAAAACATGGTCAATATTTTCCGGTTTTTTACAGATAAGGCAATTTGTCCCCCAAGGAAAGTAAAAACCACGGTCTGCTTGAAATGTCCTGACTGATAGTGTACCTGTGTGCAGCTTGAAAAAGAAAGACTTCGCGCCAGGAGCCACTTGCATTCTCTTCACTCGTTTAAGCACCTCTTTCCCTTCACCTCCAACGTACATGGCACGGTACAGCGGTTCAGGTAAAACAACATCGCATACATCTTTGTACAACTTCTTTCGAGTCACTGAAAACAAATATTCATTGGAAAATCTAACAGATAAAAACCGTACACTTAGAATAACCTCTTTAAGATACCCGCGCACAGCACCGGTCATGTCATGCGTGCTAACCACATATCCAGGTAAAGCCCGCGTCAGTCTCATTTGGCACACTGTACGTAAGAAAGGGTCCCTTGTGTAGCGAAAAAAAAGAACCTATTTACGACTTGGCGTAAGCCCTCCGTGTTTCACTTTTCGAAACAGATTAGTTCGACTGCATCTCTCCCAGTTCGAAGCCCACACGAACACTGCGAAGATACGATTGAACTTCTGTATGTTTGCCCTTGAACAATGCAATACTTGCATCACATACCAAAGTTTTGAGGCAAAGAAAAGATTACAGACAGTCGCCCTAGCAAACACTGACAGATGATTACCGTTGCATCTATTAGCTTTCGTCCGGATTTCTTTCGCTTGTTCTTGCCAGTAGTTCTCATTATCTTTATAAAATTCCAGTGGCACCCCTAAGTACTTGACAGGTGTGGTCACCCATTTAAAATTGGCAAAATAGTCTGGTTTTGATGACCACTCTCCATGCCAGAAACCCAGACACTTTCCCCAGTTTACTAGACTGCCAGTTGCCTTGCCGAACCTTTTAACCACACTGATGGTAGTGGTAACACTATCTTGATCGATACAACAAACAGCCACATCGTCGGCATATGCCAAAATTTTAACTTCAGATTCTTGTAATCTATAGCCACGAATGCAACTGTTTTGAGCTATTGCTAAGCACAACGATTCTATATATAAACTGAAAAGTAGGGGGTTCAGCGGGCAGCCCTGACGAACAGAACGCTTTATGTTAATTGTATCTCCTAGCGTCTTATTGATTACCAGTCGGGTTGTGCAGTTCCGGTATGCCATAGATACTCCATCTCTGATTACAAAACCAACGTTGACATGGTCAAGAATGGTAAGCAGTAGGTTGTGGGAAACACAATCAGAAGCTTTCTCGAGATCAATCTGTAGAATGGCTACCCCTACTTGATTGGCATCGCTACACTCGAGCACACAGCGCATCTTGTGTATATTAGTCACAATGGAGCGTCCCATAATCCCACATGTTTGGTGAGGCCCTACTAATTCTTTGATTACCCCTTGAAGTCGCCGTGCTAGTACTTTCATTAAAATTTTGTAATCACAATTAGTTAGTGATATCGGTCTATACAAAGAAACTAATTTTAACTTCTCCGAGTGTTCTGTCTTAGGTATCAACACTGTATGTGCTTCACTAAAGGACCTAGGGAGGACATTAAGTTTATAAGCTTGATTGAAGACATCTGCAAGTACTTGGGATAATTCATTTTTGAACTCCTTATAAAACGAAGCACTAAGCCCGTCCGGCCCTGGAGATTTACCAGGATTCATTTTATCTATAGCCCTTTCTACTTCCGTCGGCGTTATAGATAGCTCTAAAGCTGATTTGGTGTTATCTGACAACTTCGGCATTCTGCTAAGGAACTCCTGCTTAAATTCCTCTGAATCAATGGGCGTGGCAGCGAAGAGTCCTTCGTAGTGTTTGCCAAACGCTCGTCCTATGCTCTCATTGTTCGAAACTTCGATACCGTTGACTTCAATGGCATCTATGTGATTTCGTCTGGCATGACTCTTCTCTAATCCAAGCGCTCGCTTCGTCGGGCGATCATCCACAGTCATTGATGCTGCTCTGGCTCGCACTAGCGCTCCGCGATAGCGTTCCTCCTCATATACCTCTATCCTCTGTTTAATACTCCGCAAATCGTCCCCATATACTCCAGGTTTTTCACATTCAAGAGCTGTTAGTCTCTCAAGTGTTCGTCTAAGCTCTTTCTCATTCTTCTTAGATTCAAAAGATAAAACGCTAGATCTCTCTATTGCTTTTATTTTGATTCGCTGCTTGAATAGCTCCCATTCTTCTCCTATTTTGTCCATACACTCTTTGTTAATATTACTTATTTCTTTAATAACTGATGCGCTAAACGACTCATCCTTTAAGAGGTTAGAGTTTATTTTCCACTGTTCCCAAGAAAAGGCGTTCCTTTCTTTTTTTTGACCCGATATTGCATTTTACAAGACAGTGATCGGAAAAGGAAACAGGGACAACATTATAACTGCTACACTGGGTTATCGCATCTGCCGTAAGGTAAAGTCGATCCAATCGGGCATTACTTGTGCCTTGAAAGTGGGTATACTTCACATCTCGGGAGCTATGCAAACACTCCGCAACATCTACTAATTCGTGTTCAATAATCACCTGTGCCAGGACATCACTGCTTCTATCTTTAACGTTGCGCCTGCTTGATCTATCACTTTCAAGACACAGTTGAAATCACCCACCAATAAGAGTTTCCTACCAGTACACATATGTTGTCGTAAATTGGAAAAAAAACCCGATCTTTCCTGGCCAATCGTTGGAGCATAAACACATATAATGCGCCATTCAGTGTCACAATAAACAATATCACACCATACTACACGGCCTGAAGAGCAAGAAAAGACATTTTCTATGACTAATCCTGGCAGTTTTCTAACAAAAAGAACACATCCCCCTGATGTGCCTATGGCCTGGCTCACAGTGGCAAAATACCGTGATGTAAACTTAAGCACCATGCTCCCAGTCTCCTCCTCGCCTTCAACTTTCGTCTCCTGCACTGCAAGCACATCCAGATTTTCTTCCAATAACAACCGGTAGACTTGGCTTTGCTTCTTCTTTGAAGCCAAGCCTCTAACATTCAGCGTGGCGAAGCTAAATGATACTTGAGGCGCCATTACAACCATGTGGAGGAGTTAGACCCGGAGCATGGCGCTTACCTCGCACGTCTAGCGCTACGCTAGACGCCTCCAGG